TTACAATTCGAAGCGGTGGGTCAGCTCACCCCGTTTACAGGAGAGCCTGCAGTCTGGTTAGGGATGGTGGCTGGGCTCCTGAAACTGCTGGCCCAGTTAGAGGGCTGTTAGCTTTTGAAGCCTTGAAAGCACCACCAAGAGAGGTGGACACTATGAATCTGGTCAGGGAATTCTGGAGAGTCTCAGGGTGTGGCACCTTCCTACTGGAAAGTACAAATTAACATTGAAGGGGGCACCTCAGGTAAGCCTCTCCAGGGGAATCGTTGGGTTGCAGAGCCTTCGAGTCTTAAAGAATGGGTCCCCTGACTGCTGCAGGGAGAAAAATTCCATGAAGCTAATGGTCTCCCAGGCAGCAGGGAACCACTGCTTTGTAGACTAAATGCTGACAGGTCCTATAAAATTGCACTTTGTAGGGGCTTTAATTATGTAGATCAGCTGCCTGCCTTCTTAGAGTGGGCATATGATCTGCCCTGGAAACCTCTCCACCAGCTGGACTGAGTGAACATAAGCTCCCTACTATTTCCACTTCTGCTCCGGCTACCTAGGATCTTGTGAAATTCTATCCAGCATAGTCTTCTGTTTATTCATGTGATATGAGTATTGCTGTTGTGGCCACACATATTGCCCATCCCTAATTGCCCTCATGATGGTGATGGTGAGCTGCTACAGTCCATGTGGTGTGGTAGATCAATACAACTGAGTGCCTTCACTTTTCTAGGCATTCCAGAGGGTGCAGTTATGAGCCAACCACATTGCTGTGAGTCTACTATTACACACAGGAAAGGCTGGAAAAGAAAGGCAGATTTCCTTCTCTGGAGGGCATTAGTGAACTGGAGATTTTCCATGACATTTTGATAGTTTCATGGTCACCATTACTGACACTAGCTTTATGATCCAGAATTGTTAATCAGTTGGATTTAAATCCCACCAGCTGCTGTGAATTTGCATCACCAATAAATTAGGTCAGGCCTCTGAATTATTTAATCAACTAATATTACTGCTAGTTTGCTGTCACTAGAACTAAAGGTCTGTTCCCCTCTCCACAAATGCTGCTTGATCTGATGAGTATTTCCAGCTTTTGCTGTTTTTATTTCAGATTTCCAGCATCCCTGCAGTATTTAATTTTTCACGTAGAACTAACTGGTTTGAGGAATTAAATTTAAATCAGCTGGAATTCCTGAACAAAACTTCTAATCCTTTTTTTGAGTGAGAAGGATTTGACTGATCTGATTAAATAGAAGAGGACTGTTTTAGAAGAATGTCAAAAAACATAACAATTGAACCAAGAATTTGAGCAGTGAATTAAAGGTGTTGTTTGTTCTTTGTATTTTAGTTTGGTTTATTTAAGCTGTCTTTTCTTTGCCTTCCTCGGGATGCCGTACGTCGCAGGCAATTTTTTGATGAGAAAATGTGATGTGTCTTCTCTGGCCCATTGCAGCTATTTTTGAAGTGGTTGACAAGATATGTACTACAAATTTCAAGGACACCTTTTTCCTTCATTCCAAGCACTTTATTTTGATAAAATGATTGACAGTACACAGTAAATTGCTTAATAAAATATATTTTTGCTTTCTCCTTTTTAATAGTCCATCAGATTTTTTTCAATTAATCCTGCATTACTGCTGAACCAATTTTAATGATTTTTTTTAGAAAATCAATTTTATTGAACATGTATTTTTTCTGTTTTTGTTGGGGGAGGGAAGGTGAGATAGGTGAGGGATGTGTGAAAAACTTTAGTTCTGCCTACTTTGCCCAACAGATTTTATTGCCCACTTTTATGGTACTTCACCTCAGAAGCTTTAAAAAAGAATCAATGTATTCATGCTGTTTTAAAGAAAAAACAAATGTTTCTCCTTTTTTCCCAGTAACAAATCACATTGACTGTACTTAGATCATAAGAAATGGGAGCACGAGTGGGCCACTCAACCACGCAAGCCTGCCCAGACATTCAACAAGACCATTACTGATCTGCCTTAGGCCTCAACTCCTTTTTCATGACAGCACATCACAGCCCTCAGTTCTCTGATACTTCAAAGATCTTTTAAATACTTTTAAGTGATCTAGCCTGCACAACTGTCTTGGGCAGAGAATTCGAGACATTCGCTACCAGTAGGAGAAGAAATTCTTTTGCATCTTAGATTTATTTGAGTGAACTATTATTCTGTCACTCTATCCTCTTGTTCAAGATTTTCAAGGTAATTGGTTTTTAAGAGCTGAGGCTGTTGAAATAGCTATTGTTTATTGCATAAGGACCTGTTTACAAGTACTGGCACACATTTCAAGAGCTCTGTTCTGATAGAAACATCTACTGAATCAACATATATTGATTAAATATTGAAATAAATCCAGAAAACAGTATTCTTGATGCACTATGTCCATGGTATTATTTGAGCCAAGCCCTAGATTGCGTGAAATTCAATAACACTTCAAATCCTTTGGTACTCACTTATCCTTAGGATCCATAGACTCCTGTATGACAATTTTTTTTTCTTTATTCATTCATGGATGAGGACATCACTGGCCAGGCAGGATTTATTGCCCATCCCTAATTGCCCAGAGGGCAGTTAAGAGTCAACCACATTCCTGTGGATCTGGAGTCACATGTAGGCCAGACCAGATAAGGTCGGCAGTTTCCTTCCCTAAAGGACATTAGTGAACCAGATGAGTTTTTCCCAACAATCAACAATGGATTCACAATCATCATTAGACTCTTAATTCCAGATATTTTATTGAATTCAAATTCCACCATCCGGTGGGATTCGAACCTGGGTCCCCAGAACATTGTCTGGATCTCTGGATTAACAATCCAGCGATAATACCACTAGGCCATCACCTTCCATTTATAGAAGTTGTAAGAATTAATTCCTCTGGTGTTAAATATTTAGCATAGACAAAACTAATATTCCTGTTAATTTGATCATGCAACAACTACTTTTGAGAGAAGACATATATCTTCCTTCCATGGGCTGGATTTAAGTCTCTGCTTTTGATTTTTGTAACGTAATATTCTCAAGGAATATGGAGCAAAGATAGGTAAATCGAGTTATGAATTGTTTAACCTTGGAAATCATAAAAGGCCAATTTTGAACTTTGTTCTGTATTGACTTAACTTATCACAGCCAAAGCAATAGTGATAACTCCTACCAATATGTGATTTGTATGTCCTAATGCTTGTTGATGACAAGATTAGGAAGTTGGCAGTTAGACTATTTGTCAGCATATGAGGAAATATAAATAAATATTTAACAAAATTAAAGTATCTAACTGGGCATTATTTTGCAGCAAAAGAGTTTCAAAATTTTTCTGAAATGAGAATAATGCTGTTTCTCAAAAGTTGCTTCATATGTTGCCTCATGACACATTGCAACATTATCAGCTGATTCAATTTGTACAACAACATTTCTTGACATACTTATTTCAAAATTTAAGTTGCAGAAAAACTGGAAATTTCATAGATATTGATTTCAATCGAATTTCCTGTCAAGTGTTGCTATTCAAGGATAAAATAGGTCATTTGACAGTAGGATTGTTTGATGCCATCAAAACAATTCACATTTTTGTTTATTACGATCTTCAAAATGGAGAAAAGTTAGTTTTGACTTTTCTTGGTGCAAGTGCAATAACTTGTTTCTGACCTCAAATTAGATTAGCTGACTGGTATATTTTCCATCTTCAATTCTACCCGCGAGAGTGAAAGAAGAACTATTTTGTTGAATAGAGTTCAAATTATATGTCTGATGGGAAATTAGAGTTGCATAATTATAGATGCCTGTAAATATCATGCTTTTTCAATTTGGCGCACTAAACTAATGGGTTAAAAAAAAATTGTTGACACTTTTGGATCAGAATTTCTGAGAAGTGCCAACCTCACACAGAAAGAAGGAGCTTACACAAGGAAAGAGCTCCACATTTCTGACAGAGATTTAAATGCAGAGCCGTAGTTACTCTCTAAAAGCCCTCATAGCATAGAACAATTAGGAGAAGGCAAACCACACCTTTTTCACAACAATTAGTTGCTGTATTCTCTGATTTTAATATCTAGCATCACAGACAGCCAGTTTGACACCTCCTGTGGAGGAGTAAGTATGTAGTCTCGAACGTGTAGGCATAGGGTGACAGGTGGATAGAATACCAAGTATGTAGGATGTCAGTGAGCAAGATCATAGATTATATGGACATAGATCATATGGAGCCAATAAGTGTTGGATTGTGTAGGGTAGATTGGGAATGGGTGGGAGATGTCAGGTCCTGCCATGAGGAAGTTTCCGATTGAGACGGGAGGGTTGTCAGGTCCCTGGGGAGGGCAGGTCCACAACAGTCTGAGGAGGGACAGGGGGCTTTTGCCTGGTAATGGGAGAAAGAAGTTCGGGTCCAGCAACTGTGGAAAGACAGCATATACCAAGGGTGCGTGGGGCATGTTGAATGCTGGGAGGAGAGGGCTGGGTCAGGTCAGGTGATTGGTGTGGGGTTGCAGGGCATTAGTTTAGCATTCATTCAAAGTGTCACTCTGGCATTTAATGGGGTCTGTCTCTCTCTCTGAAGACATTTTGGCAGTATCATTAAAAAATCAGTGCATTTTAGAGGAGCACCATACTAAAACTGAGTTTGACTTAAAATTGGTAGAAGATAATACAGTCCCAGGAGAGCACACATGGTTTTTGGCATATATATGTTCTTTCATAAAAAGAAGTTTACTCTACACAAAAAGAACTTGCCTGTAGACTTTTCTTCCTCTTAAAAGAAAATGATAATCATGTACAACACATTAGCATAAATCATTGAAGTTTGAAATAAAATATTTTGTTTTCTAGTTCTTGACTTTTCATTTAAGTGTATTTTCTTCGCAGTCTTGCTTTTAAGTTGCAATATGGGATGTGCTTATTATCTTCTGAGAGAATGGAACTGGCAGTACCTTGCCATATCTTTAAGTGTTGTTGAGGTGCAAAAATTTGTTCCTGATCAAAGTTTGCTGAAACAATTTTGTTCTGTTTTCAAATTAGGTGGCACACAGCGTCTTCCTCGTATTATAGGAGTATCCTTGGCAAAGGAGCTTATTTTTTCTGGACGAGTGCTTGATGGTACTGAAGCCAAAGTAATTGGTCTGGTTAATCATGTTGTAGAACAGAATGAAGCAGGAGATGCAGCCTATCGCAGGGCATTATCTCTTGCAAGAGAATTCATACCTCAGGTACATCAAACATAAGATTAACATTTAGTTTCAGTAATTATTTTTAGAAGAATTTTCAGTTTTAATAATTTTACAGATGTATAATGTGGCTTGAAAAATGTATAACTCTTATCATGATATCCACAATACCTTGTGTTTGTACATGCTGTGCCAACATTAATTGAACATAGGCTCATCTCATACATGATAGCTCATTGCTCACTCTAACTTAAATGTGTCATAATAATAAAACCTCATTACTGAATAAGAAGATCATGGGTTCAAGCTGTGTTTTAGGATTTGACTGACATTTGAGCATCTGTCAGACACTCTTTTGTTGAACATATTATCCTTCAAGTGAGATGTTACATGAAGAACCTTCCGTCTGTTCAGGTAAATGCACAATTCTTCGTATTCCTCAACCAAAAAAAATCCGAATGATCGTTTATCTAATTGCGAGTTGTGGGAATTGCTGCAGACAACGTGGTGCCACATTTGCCTACGACAAACAGTTTGTACGTTTTCAGCAATAATTAATTAGTTTTGGAACATTTGAAGTGTGTGAATAGTGTTAAAGAGATAGAAGATAAAAGAATTTAAACTGCAACTCCATTCCACCCCAACCAGTATCCCATTCAGAGATGGGTAAGGTATAAAAAGTTAAGGACACAGGATTTGTTTCATCGTGACTATGCCTACCATTTTTGTGTACCAGCAGATATTGGAGCATCTGAGTGTTTCACTTTAGAGAGGTGAAACACCTGCATTGCATTGTACTTACAGCACAGAAATAAATTATTTCTGTCAACTAGTCCATACAGATGCTAATGCTGTGCATTCCCTCCAATTCCATCCACCCGCATCTATTCCATTGTCCCTCATTTGTTTATCTAATCTCCCCAGAAATGCATCTTTTCTAGTTGCCTCAACTTCTCCTTCTTGTAATAAGTTCCACTTTCTAACTGCATTTTTGGGCAAAATGAGTCTCCTAAGTCCACAATTGGAATTGTTAATGGCTATTTATTATTAATGATTCCCAGCCCTGGACTCATACACCAGTGGAAATATCTTTTCTAACATGACCGATTGCATCTGTCTTGAGTACCAAAATCAGTAATGACTCTATATTTGCAGTACCATGTGATGGAGTGATTACTCAGAGTTGCTGTCTTTCAAATAAGACATTAAACTGAGGCCATATTTGCCTACTGGGCCAATTCCTATGGTACTATTTGGAAGAAAATTAGACAAATCATTTCTGGTATCCTGGTCACTGTTTATGTGCAATTAGTGTCACAAAAGCACATTTTCCAGTCATTATCCCATTGCTGTTTGTGGAAATTTGCTGCATACAAATTTATTGCTGTGTTGTCTACATTACAATGATGATTACACTCTACTGTTTGAGATGTCTAGTGGTCTTGAAAAAGACTACAAGCATGCAATCTTCCACATTTTTTTATTATAGGTATAGTCTCTCAATCTGCTATTGTGGCATAATTCCCGTAAACCATTTTTAGAACCTTTTCCAGTACCTCAAATCCTTTTTATATTAAGGTGACAGGAATGGTTCACGGCCCTCTTAAGTGTGACCTAACTAAGGTTACATCGAAGTTTAAGACAATTTTTCTGGTTTTCCATTCTACCCTTCTGGAAATGAATCTTTTGCATATTTTTAAAATGGTCTGTTAACATGCATTGCTACTGTTAGTAATTTGTGTACCTACTTGCCCTCTTCTCTGCAGCCCTATTTAAACATCTATTTCTCAGGGAGTAGGTAACCTCTTATTCTTTCTGCAAAAGTCTACCACTTGCTGTTTATCTATTGTGGAGTTCCATTCCTGATTACCTACCCATTCTGAATAGTTATCAATATCTTTCTATATTTTGTCACAGCACTCCTCTGCATTAACACAATTGGTCAATTTAATGTCATGCATAGATCTTGTAATTGTACTTCTGATTTCCATTTATGTGAACGGTGAATGACAGGGGTCCCAAGACCAATCCTTGTGGAACACACTTCCCACCTTTGACCCATCTGACTAACTATCTTTAATCCCTACACACTGTTCCTTTTTTCATCACCAGCATGTTCTCCATTCTGCTTCTTTTCCTCTGGCCCCACTTTTCAGATCCTAGTTATTGAATCTTAATTAATGAATATTAAATAATAATCCTATAGTTCAATTAGAAACCAGATTTAAAATTTACTACAAGTTTTTTTTTCCCAGGAATCAGGAAATTTGACAGATGGATGAGAGAACCTGCGAGCTCCACAGTGTGTTCTTTCAGTACTCTTGGTAGATGGTAATTCACTGGCCATCAAGGAAGCCTTTAACTTTTCTTCCTCTTGACCCTCCAGGACAGCTCCGATGCCCCAGACCCTCTTCAACCATCTGATTGCGAGGGACCACACCCAAGAGCCCAGCAATAACATCTTGCCACTGCAGGTCTCTTGTGACCACTGGCTAAGCTCTTTGTTCATTGAACAGAAAATGGTGCTACAATGTGTTAATGAGGTCCTAGCATTAATTTTGGGAGGTTCTCCATATCCCAGGCTTTACCAGTTTTGGCCTCACTTGCAGCCTTTTCATCTGCTTGTAATTATGGGGTTGGTTTTGTGACCACATGGTGAAATTTAAGACCTTTCTGAAAACTGATTTGTTTTATTAAACCACTAGTAATTGTTATAAAATCTCCTTGCTTGCCCTGTGCCAGTTGTTGTTTGATTGCACTGTTGTGAAATATATCGGGAAATTTCCCTAAATTAGAGGATGCTGTATAAGCATAAGTTCTTACTGTTAAGAGATAGTAAGAACGGCTGATGCTGGAGTCAGAGATAACACAAGTGTGGAGCTGGAGGAACACAGCAGGCCAGGCAGCATCAGAGGAGGAGGAAAGTTGACGTTTTGGATCGGGACCCTTCTTCAGAATTGGGGGAGGGGGAAGGAAGCTCAGAAATAAATAGAGAGGAAGAGTGGGGCTGGGGAAGGTAGGTGGGATGATGATAGGTGAGTGCAGGTAGGCAGTGGTGGGGATTGGTCAGTGAGGAGGGAGGATCGGATGGTAGGAGAGAAGACGGACAGGTTGTGCCAGGTCAAGGAGGCGGGGATGACGGGGAGGGTTGATCGTGGGATGAGGCCAGGGGTGGGGAGATTTTGAAACTGATAAAGTCCACATTTAGGCCATTAGGCTGTAGGCTCCCAAGGTGGAATATGAGGTGCTGCTCCTCCAGTTTCCGGGTGGCATCATTGTGACACTGGAGGAGGCCCAAGATGGACATGTCGCCCAGGAAGTGGGAGGGGGAGTTGAAGTGGTTTGCGACCGGAAGGTGTTGTCGCTTGTCACAAACGGAGCGCAGGTGCTCTACAAAGCGGTCTCCGAGTCTCTGCTTGGTCTCACCGATGTAGAGGAGGCCACATCAGGAGCAGCAGATGCAATAGACCACATTGACGGATATGCAGATGAACCTCTGTCTGATGTGAAAGGTTTATTTGATGCCCTGGATGGAGGTGAGGGAGGGAGATGTAGAGACAGGTGTAGCACTACCTGCAGTTGCAGGGAAAGGTGCCGAGGGTTGTGGGGCTAGTGGGGAGTGTGGAGTGGACGAGGGAGTTGCGGAAAGAGTGGTTCCTACAAAAGGCAGATAGGGGTGGGGAGGGAAATATATTATCGGTTGTGGGGTCAGATGGCAGGTGGGGGAATTGGTGGAGAATGATACGTTGAACCTGGAGGTTAGTGGGGTGATATGTGAGGACAAGGGGGATTCTGCCTTTGTGTTTGTTCGGGGGAGGAGATGTGAGAGCAGAGGTGCACGAAATGCAAGCAATGTGGTCGAGAGCTTGAAATAAGAGGACATCTGGGATGTTTTGGAGTGGAACGCCCCATCTTGGGAGCAGACGTGGCAGAGGTGGAGGACTTGGGAGTAGGTGATTGCGTTCTTGCGAGAAGGTGGGTGAGAGGAGGTGTCGTGTAGATAGCTGTGGGAGTCGGTGGGCTTGAAATAGATGTCGGTTTCGAGGCGGTCACCAGAAATGGAGACAGAGAGGCTCAGGAAGGAGAGAGAGGTATCAGAGATGGTCCAGGTGAAATTGAGGTTGGAGTGAAAGGTGTTAGTAAAGTTGATGAACTGTTCAAGCTCCTCGTGGGAGCGCAAGACAGCGCCGATACAGTCATCGATGTAGCGGAGGAAGAGGTGGGGGATAGTGCCAGTGTATTGTTGACCTGCTCCTTGGTAGCTCACACCTTGAATTTCCCTTTTGCTTGAGATGTATTTCAACAGTCATGGTCCAACAGGAAATAGCTTTTTCAATTTTATTTTGTTCAATGTATTAATTACTTTGTGCTGAGTGTTAAACATTTCTTATATATAATGTATTCCATTATTTGTTGATCATGGAATACCATCAATTTGCTCCAAGACTCTTGAGTTCGTAAACCTGAGCCATTATTTCTTTCTTACTAGGGTCCTATTGCAGTGAGATTAGCAAAACTAGCCATCAACCAAGGGATAGAGGTAAATGTTGTTTTACTTTGTTTGTCTATCACTTATACTCTATGTTATCTGCTTTTCTGTTGGTGCTATTAAACAGTAGGCATTACTTAGAATTGATTATTGTCAGACTCTCAATCACTAAGTGTTTTACCCTTAATACTTAGAGCTAGATTTATCAATCAGTTGATAACTTGTTACTTCTGGTGGTGTAACTTGTCATTTATCTTGTATAATCGACAAATGATGTTAGAGGTTTGTTTCCAAATTCAGTCTGATGCAAGTTAACTTCTGTAATGGTGTGATGTTACACCTGATTCACAAAGTGCATTATTTCGTCCACATAACATTTTTACTAAAGGTCAGTGCTGTTCAGAAAACAGAAAAGAATAAAGAACTAATACTTGAAAACTTGGAAGATGATCCTTGTTGCTACCCCAGGGTCTGATTCTTGCACACCACAATGTATAACCAAGGATATACTCAGTAGCACAATAAACTGGAGTAGACTTTCATGATTCACGAACATGTTACACTGGCCCAATAAATCTGGGTGATTGTGTCAATGAGTTGCAAGAGAAAAAGAACAGAAGAAAGAGGATGAGATAGCAGGAACTGCCGATGCTGGAGAATCTGAGAGAACAAGGTGTAGAGCTGGATGAACACAGCAGGCCAAGCAGCATCAGAGGAGCAGGAAAGCTGACGTTTCGGGTCTGGACCCTTCTTCAGAAATGGGGGAGGGGAAGGGGTTTCTGAAATAAATAGGGAGAGAGGGGGAGGCGGATGGAAGTTGGATAAAGGAGCACATAGGTGGAGAAGAGACGGACAGGTCAAGGAGGCGGGGATGGAGCCAGTAAAGGTGAGGTAGGTGGGGAGTTAGGATGGGGATTGGTCAGTCAAGGGAAGACGGACAGGTCAAGGAGCTGGGGATGAGGCTGGTAGGTAGGAGGTGGGGGTGGGGGTTGAGGTGGGAGGAGCGGGTAGGTGGGAGAAAAGACGGACAGGTCAGGGAGGCAGGGACGAGCTAGACTGATTTTGGGATGAGGTCAGGGGTGGGGAGATTTTGAAGCTTGTGAAGTCCACATTGATACCATTCGGCCGCAGGGTTCCCAAGCGAAATATGAGGTGCTGTTCCTGCAGCCTTCGGGTGGCATCGTTGTGGCACTGGAGGAGGCCCAGGATGAACATGTCGTCCAAGGAGTGGGAGGGGGAGTTGAAGTGCTTCGCGACTGGGAGGTGCAGTTGTTTGTTGCGAACCGAGTGTAGGTGTTCCACAAAGCGGTCTCCAAGCCTCCGCTTGGTTTCCCCAGTGTAGAGGAGGCCACATTGGGATCAGTGGATACAGTATACCACATTAGCAGATGTGCAGGTGAACATCTGTTGAATGTGGAAGGTTTTCTTGGGGCCCGGGATGGGGGTGAGGGGTGAGATGTAGGGGCAGGTATAGCACTTCCTGCGGTTGCAGGGAAAAGTTCCAAGGGTGGTGGGGCTGGTGGGGAGTGTGGAGCGGACAAGGGAGTCATGGAGAGAGTGGTCCCTCCGGAAAGCAGATAAGGGTAGGGAGGGAAAAATGTCTTTGACAGTGGGGTCAGATTGCAGGTGGCGGAAGTGGCAGAGGATGATGCGTTGAATCCAGAGGTTGGTGGGGTGGTACATGAAGACAAGGGGGATTCTGTTTTTGTTGTTATTGCGGGGAGGGGATATGAGGGATGAGTTGCGGGAAATGCAAGTGATGCGGTCGAGGGCGTTTTCGACCACTGTGGAGGGGAACTTGCGGTCCTTGAAAAACGAGGACATCTGGGATGTCTGGGAGTGGAATGCCTCATCTCGGGAACAGATGCGGCGGAGGCGAAGGAATTGGGAATAGGGGATGGCATTCTTGCAGGAAGGTGGGTGAGCGGAGGTGTATTCTGGGTAGCTGTGGGATTCGGTAGGCTTGAAATAGATATCGGTTTCCAGGTGGTTGCCAGAGATGGAAACAGAGAGGTCCAGGAAGGAAAGCGAGGTATCGGAGATGGTCCAGGTGAACTTAAGGTTGGGGTGGAAGATGTTAGTGAAGTGGATGAACTGTTCGAGCTCCTTGTGGGAGGACAAGGTGGCGCCGATACAGTCATCGATATAACAGAGGAAGAGGTGGGGGATGGGGTTAGTGTAGCTTCAGAAGAGGTATTGTTCCACGTATCCTACAAAGAGACAGGCATAGCTTGAGCCCATGCGGGTACCCATGGCCACTCCCTTTGTCTGTAGGAAGAGGGAGGAATTGAAGGAGAAGTTGTTTTTATCCTTTATCCCCGTCCACCCTAACATCAACGAATTCTGCTCATGCTTGGACGTTGAACAGTTTTTCTGCCGCCTCCGCGATTACTTCTTTAATCGCGAGCCTAACCCTCCCTCTACTGACCCCTTTTTCCGCCTCCAACACACCCCTCCTCCTGGTCACCACCCCAATGCCTCCTACCCTCCCTCGACCTCTTCATCTCCAACTGCTGTCAAGACATCAATCACCTCAACCTCTCCACCCCCTCACCCACTCCAACCTCTCCCCTACAGAACATGCAGCCCTCCGCTCCAACCTGAAGCTCACTATAAAACCTGCGGACAAGGGAGGCGCAGTTGTGGTATGGCACACTGACCTCTACATCGCCGAGGCCAGGCGCCAGCTCTCTGACACCTCCTCCTACCGCCCCCTTGATCATGACCCCACCCCCGACCACCAAAACATCATCTCCCAGACCATTCACAACCTCATCACCTCAGGTGACCTCCCACCCACAGCCTCCAACCTTATCGTTCTCCAACCCCGCACCGCCCGTTTCCATCGCCTTCCCAAAATCTACAAGCCCGACTGCCCTGGTCGACCCATTGTCTCTGTACCTACACTCACCTTTACTGGCTCCATCTCTGCCTCCCTGACCTGTCCGTCTTTTCTCCCACCTATCCGCTCCTCCCACCTCAACCCCCACCCCCACATCCTACCTACCAGCCTCATCCCCAGCTCCTTGACCTGTCTGTCTTCCCTTGACTGACCAAACCCCATCCTAACTCCCCACCTACACTCACCTTTACTGGCTCCATCCCCACCTCCTCGACCTGTCCGTCTCCTCTCCACCTATCTGCTCCTTTATCCATCTTCCATCCACCTCCCCCTCTCTTTCTATTTATTTCAGTATCCTCTTCCCCTCCCCCGTTTCTGAAGAAGGGTCTAGACCCAAAACGTCAGCATTCCTGCTCCTCTGATGCTGCTTGGCGTGCTGTGTTCATCCAGCTCTACACCTTGTTATCACAAGAAAGAGGATGGTTGCTTTCAACTTGTGAGATACTTCAATTTTATCCTCTATCTTCTCAATCCTTAAGGATAGTCAAGGATGTGTAATCCTACAATCCTCCTGCAATTTTCGTCAACTTCCTCTTTTTATATGTAGCCTACTGAAAGTCAGAAAGTATTGCTGAATTGTTCAAAGTATGATCAACAGATTCAGTAACAACAGAGGGCAGCATGATGACACAGTGGTTAGCACGGCTGCCTCACAGCACCAGTGATCCGGGTTTGATTCCAGTCTTGGGTGACTGTCTGTGTGGAGTTTGCACATTTTCCTTGTGTCTGCATGGGTTTCCGCCAGGTGCTCCAGTTTCCTCCTACAGTCCAAAGATGTGCAGGTTAAGTGATTGGCCATGCTAAATTCTCTGTAGTGTCCAAGGATGTGCATGCTAGTTGGATTAGCCTTGGTAAATGAAGGGTTATGGGTATGGGGAAGGGGTCTGTGTCTGGGAGGATGCTCTTCGGAAGTTGGTGCAGTCTCGATGAGCCAAATGGCCTCTTTCTGCATTGCAGGCGTTCTATGATAAAGTGACCCTGCTTCACTTTGTCGAGTTTGAGAACATAAGTATGCATAAAAAACCAAAATTTTGTCAAATATTTTTTGGCTAAAGCCCTTTTCAGCTGGCAACATGCCAACAGTTTCAGTAGCATTTTACAATCCAGATTTGGAACTTTGTGGTTTTGATTAATATTTGTTATTTTAACAGCATGCATTGTAAAAATTCAAAGAGCTAAAAGTTAATCTGAAAACTTTGCTTGGAACAGCAGTTCAAATCCTCATTCAAATTCTTTCACAGATTCACCCTTTTTTATCTTTGATACTTTGTCCAGTCCTGTAATTCTCCAATAGTTTCTTCACCTGTAACTTTCTCAAATATTTCACGTCCCTTCATGCTATCATCCGTTCCTATGTCTTTAGACATCTAGAGCCCCAGCTCTTGATATTCTCTTTTAAAGTTCTGTAACTTTCTATTTCTTCCACTTTCAAGACCCTCCTAAAACAAATAGGCCATTTGAACTGATTTTTCAGTCATTGTTTTGTATTTTGGCTAGCATCAATTTTTGCCTGATTATACCATGTGAACTGCTTTGGGAAATAATTTGGTTTGAGAAGAAGGAGAGATAATGTTGAATGAGTAATTGGCTGTGTCCCAGAAGTAAAATGTGAATAGTCATGTTCAAGTGGGACATTTCCAAAGTCCACTGTATTCTTCGCTGTTGTCGAAACATGGTTGGAGAATTTCCTAATCCTTACAATGTCAAGCTTTCATAATTGCATTTCATACACCAAAAACAAATACAAAAGATTCATTCTGAGATGCTAAATTGATAGATCCAAAGGACTGCATTAGGTAATGTATAATCTAACGTTATGTATTGTAAAGACTACATCTTTTTTATTTTTTGTATTTTTGCTCGTGAACAGAAATAGGAAAAGGAACTACTTTGAAAACTAAGGATTATTGTGGGATTGCTGCACTTTTTGAAACAAGTAACTTGTCACTCATTGTAAGTGCTGTTTACACTGCTGCTGGTTGAAGCATTAAAGGATGGTTTAGAGATAACCTAGAGCCAAAGTTGTCTATAAATGGAGTTTCATTTGGTAGCTGTTAGCTCATTGGTCTGTAAATCAGTAATCAGTTATCAATGACAAAGGCCTTCTGCCTGCTAATACCTATGTGATTGACTTTGAAATGAGCTGGGG